AAGTAATCTAACCTTTTGATACAATGTGCAATTTTAAGTGGAACTCTGGCAAGAACATAAATGATGAATTTCTTCTTTTTTTTTTTTATCCTCACCCAAGAACATTTTCCATTTTTTTATTCAGATAGAGCGGGAGGGAGAAAGAGGAAGAGAGAGAGAAACATTGATGTGAAAGGGACACATCAAGTGGCTGCCACCCGCACAACCCAACCAGGGCCGGGGACAAACTGCAACCGAAGTACATGCCCTTAGCGGGAACCAAACCCAGGACTCTCTGGACTGCAGGCCAACGCTCTAACTGCTGAGCCAAACCAGCCAGGGCTAAATGATGGATTTCACAGGAAAGAATTTGCAGAGGAGGCTACTATAATCCACAGTTGATAGTGCAGGCAGTAAGGCAGGGCCACAAGCTCCAAATGCAGTGAAAGAATCTGGAGATGTAATGGCAAGAACTGACATGCATTGATATGACTGAGATTCTCCCAGAACCTAGGAGTCAACGAGTCTAGAGGTGTTGAAAGAGAAGGTTCTTGAAAGAAGAGGAATGACTAAGTGGGGAGGGGAATTAAAACAAGATTAAGTTAAAAATTAATTAAGATTAAATGTAACCATTTAAAAAGATGAAAGAAGGAGCTACAAGCAGTCTGGCAAAGTGCAATTGTCAAAAGCCTATAAAAGAAGGCTCTAGAAAGAACATGAACTTTGGAAGAAAGCAGACCTGCGTGTCACACCTTAGTGAATTTTTTAAATCATCCAACTTCATTTGTTCAGCAAATAGTAAACATCTTTATTCGTTCGTTCATTCATTCATTCATTCAACAATAGAATCCAACAAGGCCCCTGTCTTAATGGGACATACATTCAAATGTAGGGAAACCAACACTACACATTTCGGCACTGTGCAGTGATATAGTGATTATGCAAAGGGAACAAAAATAATAATATAGCGCCCTGGCCGGTTTGGCTCAGCGGTTAGAGCGTCGGCCTGCGGTCCTGAGAGACCTGGGTTCGGTTCCCGCTAAGGGCGCGAACCTCGGTTGCAGTTTGTCCCCAGCCCTGGTCGGTTGTGCGGGTGGCAGCCACTCGATGTGTTCCTTTCACATCGATGTTTCTCTCTCTCTCTCTCTGTTCCTCTCTCTCCCTCCCACTCTACCTGAACAAAAAATGGAAAAATGTCCTCGGGTGAGGATAAAAAAATAATAATAATAATAATAATAATATAGGACTTGTCAAAGCCAATGACCACTTCATTTTGTTCAAAACCCGTCTCTGGCACCAAAGTCCAAAGTAGAGGTCTCTGTGTCCTTATAAGTACAAATGAACCGACCCCACTTTCCTCGTGAAAAATCAGATCTCTTGACCCCAAGACTATTTTTTTAAAATCAATCATCCTCACTAATACCACCCAATGAGCATAGCAAACACAGTACTCAAGAAGGGATATGTATTTGGTTGGGAGGTGAGCAATGGGAGGTCAGAGCTGACTTTTAGACACGCCACTTCTCAAAGTTCAATGTGCCAAAGCATCATCTGCAGACCTTGGTGAATGTAGATTCTGATTCAGTGGGTTTGGGATAGGGCCTAAGAGTCTGCATTTCTAACCAGCTCTCTGGGATGCCAAAGCCGCTGCTCCCAGGATGCCGAGAAGCAAGTTCTAGATGCCTCGATAGTTTGTTGACCTCAAGGGAGCAAGTGGGGTGTGGCTGACCCTTTGCTACTGAGCTGAGAAGAGCATCTCTATCTTGTGCCGCCATTTCTCATCCACCTTATTTTCCTTTATGCAGCTGGAGGATCAAATTCTACTATCGAGTATTTTGTGAAGACCCTGGACAAAGGGCTTCTACTGGATCGCTGCATTCAAGCCCTACAACTCCTTGAGGTGGGTACTGTGATTATGCCCAGTGTACAGAAGAGAAGGCTCTAGTCCAGAGTGTTTAGGTCACACTATTAAGTATGGAAAGGATTCAAAATCCAGAGCTCTTAACCACGACTTCCTCCTTATTGTACAGGGAGGGGCAAAGGTAGGTTTACAGATGTGAGTATGCGAAACACGGAGTTTATTCTTGTATGGTATTGCATAATTTTCCATACCAACACTGTAAACCTACTGTTGCCCCCACCGCCACCTCATATTTACACCACAAGTCTCTCTCCTGCTCTGTTGTGGCATCAGAAGTGAGCGCATTTGACTGTTCCTCCCATTCCCAAGGTGATAAAGCCCAGTCTGGTCTTCCATTAAAATGACTTGGTTTCAGGGAAAAGCAAGTAGGGTCCAAACTGAGAAATCTTCTGAAATTCAGCAAAAAGAAGGAGCATTTAACACTAACTTTGAGAAGCCCCCCCTACCCCCCACCAGGAAGTAGTGTTAGTTCATGCAAGATTATCATACGCCACTTCGAGTTCTTGGACACTGTTATTTTATTTCATCAAGAGAGCATCTGATGTCCTATCTAGCCAGGATGATGGGTGAAGGTTCCATTACGAACCTCCCTGTCGCCCTAGCGGGTTTGGTTTAGCGGTTAGAGCATCAGCACGCAGACCAGAGAGACTAGAGTTCGGTTCCCGCTAAGGGCACATACCTTGGTTGCTGTTTGTCCCTGGCCCTGTTTGGGATCGTGTGGGTGGCAGCCTGTCTCTCTCACATTGATGTTTCTCTCCCTTCCTCCCTCTCTCCCTCCCACTCTGTTTGAAGATTAATGCAAAAATGTCCTCAGGTGAGGATTTAAAAAAAACCTCCCTGTCAATAGGAAGATGCGACTGTGTTCCACCCTGCAATATCTGTGGCCTGGGCACCCATAAGTCTTAATAAATAGTTTAATGTATATTCAATAAGTATATAATCTTAATACATATAATAGATATTTAATTTTATTTACTGTATTTACCACAATGCAACAGATCTTAATAAAGATTTAACAATAAAAGCTCATTTTATGATTTTCTTAAGAGACCCTGATTCAGCGCAGCTAACTTAACTGAAATATGCATGTAAAACAGTAGTCCTGAAACTTGATTGTACGCGGGACTGTCCAAGGAGCTTTCAGACAAACGGATACCTGAGTCCTACCGATGAAGAGTCTGGTATGATAGGTTTGGGAGGAACAAGGTATCAGGATTTTTAGAGGCTCCTTAGGAAACTAGTGCACAGCCAGAGTTGACCATCATAAGCATAAAAACAACAACAACAAACAGAGGGAAGAGTAATATTCACTGTACAGGCAGAAAAGAGGGGAGGGGGGCATGTCTTCATCCACCCGCGGTAAGGGTTTTGCCCACCTACATAGATCTAGCACCCTAACAGACCCATTCTAGTTGCAAGCAAGTGGCGCACCTCAGTCGGTGACCAAACCACACCTTTCATACTTGGTGTTTGATGACCAGCTACTGCGCATGTCAGCAACACTGCTCGCCCGCAGGGTTCCCAGCTGGGAGATGCTTGCAGGTGGTCTGGGCTTGCATGGGAGCAGACGTCACGTCTCCAGTGACAGGAGCTTTCCTGGAAGCTCAGCCTCCCCTCGGTTACGGACAAGGGCGACAAACCACAGCAGTATTGGCAGCTCCGAAGAGGCTGCAGCCACTGGTATTTTCATGTCACATTTTAGTTGTGTGGTTGTCCCTCCATTGAGATTAAAGTCGTTCTAATAGATCTGTTATTGGATCTAGGTATTTAATGTAAGACTAGTGATGCACGTCTGTTGCTATCTTATGGCTTTAATACTTTAATCACTGGATCCAGTAAAACTGATTCTGACTTCATTGTATTTTAGGTATGAACAGCATTATTCTGAGAAGGGTGGAAATGCATCACTAGAGCCAATGTGGTCAGTGGCACAAGCAAGGGCACCAGCCCTGCTTTGAAGAGTGCGCCCTGACAAGCCAGATAACCGCTTGTTTGCATCCAAAGCCTTCTCCCCCCAGGGCGCTCTCGGGGGAGACACCCAGGACAGAGCTGGCTCTCGGTTTCCCCTGCATTTCCGCCGATAAGATTTAGCCTGAAAAGCCAGTTCAACGCCGCAGAGAATAGGATGGGCATTCTCTTTCGCCTCAGCTGCCTTTTGCTCTTGGCATTTCGGAGTGCCCAGACTGCCAGGATGGTGGTAACTTGAGCCTCCAAATTAATCAAAACACACAGCGCCCAGTTCAAACCCAGGCAGACAAGCCCGGGAGCCAGATACCTTCCCTCTGGTAACCCCAGGCCCCAGCCCTCTACCCCGCCCGCCACCCCGCGCCCGACCTGAGATGCCAGGCCTCCTTCACCGCCCCCCACCGGCAGGTGCCCCGCGCCCTAACGCCGCGATTGCCCAGACGGGGTCGCAGGCACCTTACCTCTGGGAGCCGCCCACGGCGCCGGGAGCAGCCTCCTCTCCCGCGCGGTGCACCCCTCCGGGCTCGGCCTCGCCCAAATCGGGCGCGACTCGGCCGCGCCTCGGCTCGGAGGTGAGCTGAGAAGGGAAAGCGGCGAGATGGCACCGCCGGGAGCCGGAGCCAGCAGGGCCTCCCGAGTGCCGACGCCCGCGCGCCTCCCACTTAATCTGGGCACGGCCGCTGGCCACTCCCTCCACTCCGCTCAGCCGCCTCCCCATCGCACACCCCCCAAATTCCCGACCTCCGACCCGCACCCCTGCTGCGCCTCGGCCCCCAGACCTTGGAGCATCACCTCCTTAGCCCCTTAGCCTGGATCCTCGCCCACTTGCCCCGCGGGCGCGCAGCCCTTTCTTGCCTCCTGGGCACGACGCCCAGGGTCGAGGGACAGTGCCGGGCGAGTTGGAGGGGAGGGGGGACGAGGGCGGGACCTGAGCCACTTCTTCCTCCTGTGGAGCCACAGTCAAAGCCTCAGTGGGGAGGGACGGACAGAGCAGCTGAGCCCTACAAAACCCGCCCCGGGCCGGCTGGGGAGGCCAACTTCACAGCCGGCTCCCCTGCCCGAGCCACGCAAGGGACACGGCGGCTGGAGAGGCTGCGGGTCCGGGACACGCCGGGACCCTGAGCGGGCGCGCACCATGCGCCCCCGGAGGGCGCGGAGCCCGCCCGCCCTCCTGACGCGGCTGCTGCTGCTGCTGCTGGTGGCCATGCCCGCCGCGGGCAAGGTGAGTGCGACAGCCGCGCCACCCCATTCCGGGGCTGCCACCCCCCAGCCTCGCGTTCTGGAGACACGCCGCCCGCCCACCGCAGGTTGGGGCGCTGCCTGGTGGTCGCCGTGGCGGCGGCCTCCTCGAAGGTCCCCAGGCCGGCCGCGTGGGGACGGGAGCAGGCGGAGATGCCCAGGGAACAGGTGGGTAGGTAGGGAGATAATCGCCGGGGACGAATAGGTGACAACATCGGATAGAGAGAGACACGCGATGTCTCACACGTTGGTGACCAGAGCAGGCAGCATGCCCTGGCAGAGAGCTCAGAGGGCTGGCAGTGGACGCGAGAGTCCTGGCCCTGCCACTTCTTCGATGTCACTTCGCACTGAACTCTGACCTCTCTAGGTCTGGGTTTCCTCCAGAGTTCAGTCTCGTAGCTGGGAAAAGCCAATGCTGTCACTGAAGAGTGAACATAGAACTCAGTGAGTAGGCGCTAAGCAGTCTGTCACTTTTACTTCTGTTAGGAATTTGAAAGATCCCTCATTCATTGAAATCCAACCCATATTTCTTGTTCTTTGCAATTAAAGATAAATTGGGTGTCCTTAAAACTGTTAAGACTCTTAGAATTGAGTTACTTGATTTTAACTTGTGCAATGACATCTAACTTTTCAGATTCCTTCTGTGATTTTTACATTTAAAAATTTCATTTGGAAAAGAGATGAGTTGGGGTGAATTCGCAGTTACGTTTCATTTCCAACATTTTACAAATGTTTTACAAATTTCATGACTGAGTTTAGGATTGAAAATGAATAGTCACATGCATATGTGTTACATGAAAAGATTTTGGGAGCCCTTGGCCACACGTAAGTCAGTATTTTCCATGAAAATTAAATGTAAGTGAAGACATGACATATGAAAGTAAGATGCCTTTGACCATCTCCATACCTGTCCCTCTCCTCTGTCTAAACAAGGGACACACGCTCACTGCTTCCTGTTTCCTTCCAGACGCTTCCTATGCATTTACATGCACACATGTGGACCTACAGACATGACATGTTTCTGTTTGCTTTTAACATAAGTGATACGATTGATTTTATACATATGTATTATATGTAAATATCCTTTTGCAGCATACACATCTGTCCGTGCCGGTATTTCAGACAGATCCGTCTCTTTTTCTTTTTGCCCCCTTGCACAGTTGTCTACAATATGACTCTGCCAAAGTCACTGGGCTTGTCTCCTACTGATTTACACTTAGGCTATTTAGGGTTTTACATTCTAAAGGGTTTTGCAATCCGTGTAATCTCTTCATGGAGCTGCTTCTAACTGATGCACTTTGCATAGACTAGGAATTTGCCACCCAGGTAGCTAAATACTTCTGCGGATTGTGGATGAAACTCATCCAAGTCAGTGTAAATTGCTTACCAGCTTTAATCCAGGAATAAATAAACCCAACAAGCAAAACACCTAAAGGAGGTAGGTATATGCTGTGGGAAGACCTGGGAAGAAATCCAGAGAAAGGTTTGCACATCTTTCTAGACTTCAAAGATGAGGAGATATTAGAAAGAGGTGGGGAAAGAGAGGAAGAATTACATGTGCATAAAATCAGCCAGAAAAAGTGATGATCTGTGATCAGGCAACCTCTAATTATACCAATGTTCAATTATATAGTCATAGTCCCATATTAATTTTTACATGTAAAATTTTCTGTTTTGAGTTTGGCCAAATCTTGTTGACTTTTTGCTTATATTGTGATTAATTCATTTGTATTATTCTTATCATCGCTTGAAGTCAGTCTTTGTTAAACACGTATAAGCATTATCATTTCCAGTGCACCTGCTGAATTACACAATGTCTCTAGAAACCATGAAATGTGCCTTCATCATATCGATAAAAGGGATCACAAGTTAACTGATACCTGGTCAACCCAGTACCAGCATGGCTCCCACCATAGGGTAACTCTGACATTAGTCGAGGCACTTGATCGCTCTGAGCCTCAGTTTTCTCATCTGCAAAATGGGGGAGTTGGAACCCCTAATGGGACCAGCAGGTGAGATAATGAGTGAGGCCATGGGGTGGGGGTCAGTCTTTAGGACTCACCAATCCTCGGCATGCTAAAATCAGGCTCAGGAATGCCAGAATCCCTCCTTTTTCAGGAGCCAAGCTAGGATTTCAGTCTCCATTAGAAATGTCTCAGATTCTAGATGTTAGCAAATAAGTCAAAACTTTACAAAACACATTGTTTTTTTGTAAAGGAATAAAGGACAAGGGGCCAAACTTTGTAAGTGAGAGCTAAACTTAGCCTTTGGACCGTGATATTTATCAGGCTTGTGCTGCACTAGTTAAGGATATATTTTGCTCTAAGTTGCTGCAATTTTATTCAGCATTTCTCAAAATGGGGAGACCCCACATTCCCAGCTCAGACAGGGTGGGCCCGTTCACCCCCAGAGTTTGTTCTGAAATGCTCAGAATGAACCCCCTTTCTGCAGGCATCCAGTCCCAGGCCTGTTCTTCAGTGCATCCCCAGTTTTATAGCTGTTCCCAGACCCATCTACTGGACTTGAAACCTGGAGGCACGTGGCCTTGCCACCGACTATAGGTCTGGGAGTGGCGCTAGAGAGTGCTCCTTGTCTGATACCTGGAGCAGGTGAGGTCACTGTTTGAGATGACATGTTTGTCCTTTCTCTTTCTGCCCTCAATTTGCAGACAGGACAGAAATATAGCAAGCAAATATGAGGAGCTAAATCATAGCTGCATTTAGGAAGCATGCTTTCCAATGGATTTTATTTTTAAACTTAAAAACATACATTGAAATAGGAAACATTTCAAACCAACAAGTGACGCGACAGACCCATGTATCTGTCCCCAAGAGTTAGCAAGTACGAATAAGCTTCGACTTGTTTGCGCTCACATTTCTCCCTTCAGGAAAAGCGATGTAGACACACAGCAGGTCAGCCCTGGCCAGTTTGGCTCAGCGAGTAGAGCGTCCGCCCCCGGACCAATGAGTTGTGGGTTCAATTCCAGTCAAGGGCACACGTGCTTCAGTTGTGGTTTGTTCCCTGCCCTGGTCAGGGTCGTGCAGGAAGCAACCAGTTGATGTGTCTCTCTCACATTGATGTGTCTCTCTCTCCCTCTCTCCCTCCCACTCCCTCCCTTCCACTCTATCTGATGATAAATAAAAAAATATCCTCGGGTGAGGATTGAATGAATGAATGAATGAATAAATAAATAAATAAATAAATAAATACAGCAGGTCACACATACACTCTTTGCTCTGTCTCCCACCCTACAAGGTTTGTATACGCTGAGTCTTGAACTCCGTAGGTTTGAACTGTGAGTCCACTAATTTTTTTAAATAAATGTGACATCCCTCCCTATCCCAGGGTTTCACATCCTCGGATTCCCTATCAGTGGATTCAATCAACCATGGAGCAAAAACAGTATCTGAAAATTACATTGGAAATTATACCAAGCACACATTGAAAATATCATTTTCCAGCAGAAATTAGTTGAATCCACCAATGCAAATGGCCGACTGTAGAGTCGAAAGTTACACCAGGATTTTTGATGGTGCAGGGATGGGAGGGACAGGGCCTTTACCCCCACCCCACACTATTCAAGGTCGACTGCCATCTTTCTCAGTGCATGGCTTTGTATTTATACACTGTGTGTGTGTTCGTGTCCATAAAAAATAATAAATATTGTTTTGTAGTCTTTCAAATGTAAGAAATGGTTTCACATTATATACACCTATTGGGGCTTGCATCCGATCCAATGCTATATTTTTGACAGGTACCTTTCATCCCTGTTGACACACATAGAAGTGATTTATTTATATACGTATGGACGCATAGCTGTTACATAGTATCCAATTATATAAATAAAGAATGGTTTATTGTTCTATTCCCCTAAACACAGTAAGCTTGTTTCCATGTTTTCATTCTGCGAAGTTGAAGTGTACATCTTTGTATAAGTGGCATTGTGACAACCAGATTTTTAATTCCTAGGTGGGATTCAAAAACGGTTCATAGAGAAAGCACATTTTTAATTTTATTAGAAATGGTCAAATCGAGCTCCAAAAGGGTTGCACCAACAATGGGCATGAATACCTATTTCCACTTAGCCTTAGCAAAACCTGGAGGACGCAGATGTTAACGGGTGTGAAATGGGGTCTTGTTTTGACTAGTGAGTTGTGAATCTTTTTCTACTTTAAATGGGAGTTTATATTTTGCCAATTGCATGGACAGCTCTTTGCCTATTTATCTACTTTGTTCTTTTTGTTGCCAATTAATCAGGAGTTATTAAAAATGGATATCAAACTTTTGCAATTTAAATGTGCAGAAAATATTTTATTCCAGTCTTTGATTTATGTTTTTATTTAGTTATTGGCACCTTAATGTACAACTTTTTTTTCACTATAATCTCAAACTTACTCATTTTTTAATGATATTTTGTGTTTTGCATCTTGTTGAAGAAAAATTTTCCTTCCCCAGGATTATAAAAATGCTCTCATTTAAAAAAAAAAAAATCTTTTGCAGTTTAACTCTTTTACATTTAGAACTTTTAATCCTGGAATTGCTTTTTACTTATGGGATATGGTTTTATCTTTTTTCATACAGATAGCAAATAGTCCCAACATTATTTATTGAAGAGTCATTCATTCCCTTACTGTTTTGTGGTATTATATCAGCAAATATGTACCGAGCACCCATTCATACTTGAGTCTGTTTGCTTTCATTTATGGGTCTGTTTATTTAGGGCTTTAATTTCTCACAATGTTTAGAGTTTTCTGTTTATTTAATATTTTTTACTGCTACTCTAAATGATGTATTTTGTAAAATTAATACTCTAACAATTAAAAATTTAGCAAAATATAGTTGAATCTTGTATTTTGACTTTAACAAAAGCAACTTTGAATAGTTGAAATGCATTTAAGGCTAAAAAATGTCCTCCTAAATACTGCTGTAGCCCGGCTGGTGTGGCTCCGTGGTTGAGCACTGACTCATGCACCAAGAGGTCAC